AATAAAGATTTCTAACCAGCTGCCACACTAATGTTGGCCATCCTCTTTTCCCCTGTGGGCACAATACCAGCCTGGGACCGAAAAAGGGATCTTCCTCAGCCATGGCTGGCACTCCGGAGGGAGCAAAGGAAACCGACATTTATTGAGTGTTGGGTGCCGGGCCCTGAGACGGGGCTTCTCTCCTGAGCTCCAGCTCCCAGTGCAGCAGCCACCACTGTGTCCCGTTGTGACCACTGAGGGAAAAGTTACTGGGGAACAGGATATTCCCCCGATCTCAAAGGATCACCACCACCGAGATAATTTATTCATTGCAAAGGGGAAAAGGTACCTTTACAAGGGAGAGATCCAGAGACCTCACCCCTCCACCAAGTAGTCGACCTTATTATTACTGATAGCAGGGCTGCCCGAGGCCACGAGCTTCCTGGTACGCAGGAGGATGAAGCACACAGCACTGCCTACGGAGTGTTCTTGCTGTAAAAAAGGTTACCTGAGTCTAAAACCTCCTCCAGATCAAACTCAGGGAACACAGGGGCCTGTGAAACAGCTCACACACCACCACAAGGAAACGCCCCAGACAACTCCAGAACACGGGATGCGGTCCGTGACAATTGGCCAGCACTCTTCAAAACGGCAATGTCATTAAAAAAAAAAAAAAAAGTGTGCGCAAGTGAATGTAGGGGGAGATTGTTCTACAGTAAAAGTGACTTCAAAACACAACTAGTGCAACGTGTGGCCCTTTACTGACTCACAGTTTATTTAAAGACCCCAGCTCTGAGAGACTTGGGACATGTGGGCAGTGTGGGTACGGACGGGCTGTCAGGTCACACAGTGGAGGTGTACATTTTCTCAGGCATGATCATGAGACTGTGATTATGAGGAAGACTGTCCTCCTTCTCAGGAGATGCGACAGGAAGTTTTGAGGGGTGAAGTGTGATCCTGGCTGCAACGTATCTTCAAATGGCTTGGCCAAAAAAAAAAAAAAAGAAAAAAAGAAAAGAAACAGAAAAGGTATAAAGAGATAAAGCAAATATGGCAAAATACGAACAACTTCTGAATCTAGGGGGAGGGCTGATACTGTATTATCACTGGATTACTTCTCATCTTTCCTGGATGTTTGACATTTTGTAAGGTAAAGACTGGGATACAGTGAGGAGAGGGGACCCCAGGAAGGGTGGTCCCGCAGGTGTGTGCGTACACAACACATAGGGAGGCCGGTTCACCATGTGAGAAAACCAGCGACTCCTGTATGAGATTGAGATTTCAAAGCTGGGCAGACCGGTGTGTGATGTTCCTCTGGGTCTCAGGAAAACTCTCATTTTTCAACGCCAGCAATGTTTTTGTAAAACATCAACCTGAGAGTCAACACTCCCAAATGCCAACACACACTCTGGCTGACCCCAACCTCTGGCTGACAGCTGGGCCACAGCCCTGCAGTGGAACAGTGTGCCGGGCTCCAGGCTGGCTCAGCTCTGTTCTGCTGTGACTCTGGTCTGAGCAACTTCATCAAGTCACAGACTAGAGATAAAGCCACCAGAACAAGAACGGTTTAGCAGGCAGGTCGACAAGCCCCCTTGCTGCATTTCTTTCTACTCAGACACCAATGCTTCTCAGTGACATCCCAGAGAACCCAGACTGGAAAGTCCCTTTATAAGCTTGCCTCTGAGTGTGTTCAGCTCTCCTCTCATACAGAGGGTAGCTTAGGTGGAGCCTCTGGAAAGCTCACCACTTACAGAGGTGTGAGACATGCTAACATGTCTTAGCTGACACTGAGACATGCCTGTGGGTGCTGGCTGGTAAGAGTCTGTGTGTTTATGCAGCCTGAAGAAAGGTGACATACATCACCTGGCATTCTTAACTCTCGACCGTCTGGGCTGAGACCATCTGAAAACCCCCATACAGAGCCAAGCACCAGGATGAGAAATTCTTGCGAGAATCAAAATCCTCCTACACACACACACACACACACACACACACACACACACACACCCATATGTGAAGTGTTCCTCCAGGACAAAATCCTCTAGGTAAAAAAACACAACCACCTGTAAATGGAAAAAGTGATTTTTCTGGGTAGAAAAAGAAACATAAAGACAGCAGTCTGAAGATTCACTGAATTCAGGGATGTGAAGTGATGAAAAATGCCTCAGACTGTCTGGCAGAGAAGGGGGTGCAGCCAATGAACAGAGCTGGTCTGACAGGAAAATGGAACAGTAGCTGCCTGCAGAACTGGGGAGCTGTTGGAGAAGAGAGCCAATGAGCCCATGGTCCAGGGGGACAAAAGCACCCGGGAGGGAACAGACTGTGACCCCAAAGAGGTTAACTTAAATTGCTCAGGAGAGACGACTGCTATTTAAAATATGCTCGACAAAGAAAAGTGGAACTGATGAAGGATGGAGTGGCCTGATCTTAACACACCGAGACCTCCCTCAAGGCGGCAAGGTGGACACCCGTCACGGGAGCCTGCCCTCTTGCCAGCAGCTCTGCCTGACTGGGAAACCGACGCTGTGTCTGGGAAGACAAAGCCTGGGCAAACCAAACTGCTCACAGATGCACTTCTTTGAGAGGACCTCCACCCACTTCCCTCGTGACCAGCAAAGTCACTGCAAAACGTGATGCAGCCCCTGAAAGATTCCCTCCTCATCCCAGCAGTACCAAAGGGGAAAGCCCCACAGTTCTCAGAACAGAACCGACAAGTTGAAGAGATAAGCAAGGGCAGACAGTTCTCAGCCTTCCACCCCTTCTCCCCGTCACTCCTCCTTATCACTGTCCCAGGAACCAATGCCCATCTCCACACACAACCTTCACGTCTAGACTTACAGTGAGCAAAAGGCCGCTCTGTAGTCTGGTCTTTGCAAACAGAAAGCACCCACCGCAGTGGGGTTTGCACATGTGCTCACACTGAAGATTAAGCAAAGTGAGCATGTCCCTGAAGACTCCAGGGCCAGCGCCGTCACTCTGAACACAGGCAACCTGGCACATTTCTCAGCAGCGAGCGACTCTGCCCTGTCATAATCACATTTCCCACGGGCGCCTGGGTGGTTCAGTCGTTAAGCATCTGCCTTCCGCTCAGGTCATGATCCCAGGGTCCTGGGATCGAGCCCCGAATCGGGCTCCCTGCTCCTCTGGAAGCTTGCTTCTCCCTCTCCCACTCCCCCTGCTTGTGTTCCCTTTCTCTCTGTCAAAAAAATAAATAAAAATCTTTAAAAAAAAATAATAATCATCACATTTCCCACCCTGAACCATGAGTATCAAGCCCTCAGGAATAAATTGGGCCATCAGCAGCAATCAAATCCAAGGAAATAGCCAGGGCGAGGCTAGGAAATCATAAGTTAGGGAACAAAATGTAGTCCCTGTAGTTCCTTCAGAGAGAAAGGAAGACCAGCTGGAGGAGACAGAAGTGGGAGGGGAGAGGAGACCCACACACAGTGTCTTGAAAACACACACATACAGTTCATGCACCCAAGTCAGCAGCTGATTTGGGCTAAGGAGTCACAAATTATTACCGTGGGAACAAGTGGGTATTTGTTCAGCTGGGAAAATAGCAAGGCAAGTAGGGACTAAAAAGGAAAGAAAAAGTGGCAAACATACACGGTCAGGCACTTGGGGTAAGATTTATCCAGGCCAGGCAACCAGAAGAAGTGTCATCCAAAACAGCCTGAATGAAGCCTGGGAGAATTCACTCAAATAAGCCCCCGTGTTATGACAAGCAAAGCTGTAACTCCAGCAACTGCACCCTAGATGACAAATGCACACAGCTGCAGGATCCATCCCCAGTGCGAAGGAGCATACTTTCCGCAGAAACTTACCACTCTGCCCATGTGAGCACGGTAGGGAAGTTTTGAGAACCTGTCATTCTGGAATTAAGGCCTCTGTAGAGATCTTTATAACCCTTCCTTCCTCCAGAATGCAATCACAGGGGCACTCCTAGGCCCACAGCCAACTGAAGCCTCCTGTTACTGTAATCGAGGGAAGGATGTGCACCAACAAAACAACACAACTCCAAATGCACAGCACACCTGACAAACAGGGTGGAACTTCTAGTTTTCCAGAGGCGCCATCTGGGGCTTTCTTCTCCATCAGGAACCTCTCAAGAAAGGGCCCCCAGGGACTTAGCACAAGGATTCTGCGACCTCCCTAGACCCTCTGAGCCGCCTCCTCCACTATGCCACTAGGTTGCCTGAGTCTCATGGAAATAAAGGAAACTTTAAATAAAAGTAATAGAGTGGGTTGGGCAGGGGGACCAGCCAGGGGAGGCTTGAGATGCAACTTAATTAGGAAAGGTTGGGACAGAGATCGAACAGGTGGACCTGTTCAGGAAGGAAGGAGGGGAATGAGAAGTGGGGAAGAAAGCAGTCTGAGTGGGTCCTGCTCCAACCAAAACAGAAAATAAAGCTGGGGGAAGGGGGCGGGGGGAGGCGAGGCAGGAGGAAGTGGTACTGGGAACGCAATGCATGGCCTTACAATCCAGGTATTGCAAAGTAGCGGGATTTAAAAGCCAACGAGAGACAGCAAATCTTTGCGGAGTGAAGGTGCAGGGAAAAGCCCAGCATCAGACTGGGGATTTAGGGATGCGGGTTCAAAGTGCGAAGGGGAGGCTAGGAAGAGATTCTATGAGGGGGCACAAAGGATTATTCCAGCTGGGGGTTCATGGCCCCAGGCTGGAAAGTGGAGTAGCCTTCATTCGCGATGACAAGGTAGCAGGGGGGCGAGTTTTAGCCAGTTATCTCGGGAGAGAGGCGTGTGCGGGCTGTAGCAGAGGAGAAGGGGTGACCCCTAGCTAAAAGCTGTCGCGATAAGGCCAGAGACTCAGGACCCTGGGTCGGGGGAGGGAGCTCCCGCTAGTCTGGGAATGCCCAGCCTGCGCTCGCGGGCAGAAGGCAACCCCGCCAAAGGGCCCGGGGCCCCAGGCCTTAACTCTTCGGGCAGGAGGGTCCCCGAGGCGGGGCTGGGCCTGCGGTGGTCCCACAGGGCCTCAGGAGGGGCGGGGGCCCGGGACTCACGCATCAACGTGCTGAAGGCCACGACGCCGAGCAACCCCTGCAGGAAGATGCCGAAACTGTGCATAAGCGCGCCGCTCTCGCAGCGGCCC